TTCGAAACTAGCAGTGGCAAAACAGAGTAAAACAGATAGTATGACCTAATCAATGAAGAGAAAGACAACTTATTAACGATGATCTTGACAGCGTCGAACTCACAGAAAAAAAGAAAGTCCAGAAAAACTGTTTGAGGAAGGATCAGCAACAATCTTGGGAGCGAAGTTCACTCCCGGTAAATCCGGAGCGATGCGGCACGGGACGCGCGTTGTTGACGCGTTGCAGCCATGCGATCGATATGGGGGCTCCGCGTGGTGACCTGGCGCCGTCGTATAAAAGTCGGTAGCTGGTTCGGCGCCGGTCGCTGCTCGTCTCAACAATGTCCGGACGCGGTAAAGGAGGCAAAGGACTCGGCAAAGGTGGTGCTAAGCGCCACAGAAAAGTTCTTCGTGATAACATCCAAGGTATCACGAAACCTGCTATTCGTCGTTTGGCTCGACGTGGTGGTGTGAAGCGTATTTCTGGTCTAATCTATGAGGAAACTCGTGGTGTGCTGAAAGTGTTTCTCGAAAATGTTATTCGTGATGCTGTCACCTATTGCGAACACGCTAAACGTAAGACGGTCACTGCCATGGATGTCGTCTATGCTCTTAAACGTCAGGGTCGTACGCTCTACGGATTTGGAGGATAAACTAATTCACAGTCTCTTCATGCTTGTACAATATTTTTAAAACTTATAACTTGTCATGTATTCTGTTCTCATTTCCATTTCTGGTATCTCATTCACCAATAAATATTCTAACAGGTCCGTTCTGAGTCCTACATCTCCAAATTTTGCTAAAGCTTAACTGTGAGTTTTGCAAAAATAGGTCATCGGCAGAGAGTTTGTGGGCAACAGAGCGATCGATGTGCGTGCCTCTATTTGTCATTCGACTACGCCGGAAAACTCGTACGCGAGGCTGAGTTTGAAGGATAACAGATGGATCTGCTTTTTCTTTGGATTCCGTTATCTTCACCGCTACACACCTGTACATTGTCCTCAAATATGACTTTTCATGTTCGTTTGATCAATGGATTTCTTAGCATCGCCACATGACCGACACACAGATCTTATTTTTCAGTAAGAAATGTGTAGAAAAATGGGTAAATCGTCAACACATGCATATCTTTAAATTATTAACACAATTTTCAAATAAGTTCAATTATGTTGCAGTTCCCTAATGAAAAATTTAGAAGAACAGATGACCTGGGGAAATTAGTATAAGAAAAATCTTGCCTTCATGTAACACTACGGCTCAGTCAGGTCACGGTGGTTGCTTAAAGTAAATTTAAGGGTGTAAAATGAACTAATAGAAAGCTTGAAGCTTAATTTTACTGCAGAGCAGAAGTGGACATTGTGCTGACAACGAAGAAAACACCGTGGCTCACGTTTCGCAGAAATGA